GCCCGCCGCTTTGATGCCGCAGTCTGTTCGGAGGGGCCGCGAGTGACGCGTGGCCTGCGGTTCATCCCTGGCCAGGCACCTCTTGCTGCCTGCTTGGCCTCGAGCTGCGTGGTTGGATGGGGGCCGCTTGCTTTGCAGGTGCCTGCCCGTGCCGAGGAGATCACGATCCCCGCCGACGTCACCCCCGAGAAAGTCCCCACGCACATAGTGGACTATTCGGGTAGGGACCTCGTCCTCCCAGCCTTGCTTCTCCCCTTCCTCGGCACTCCTGCGGTGAAGCTGGGGCCAACGGTCTGCCCAGTGCAAGGGGCAGAGTTCGTCAGTTGGTGACAGCTCTCTTCCCCTTCCAGAAGCAGAGCAGACGGAGGATGAGCTGCAGGAGGAGATTGCCAAGGTGAGCGGGGCTGGACAAGGTGCTCGGGACAAGTCTGGGGCCCTGCTCTGGTGCCTGTAGCCCCACAGTTTGTGAGCCACACGAGGCTGATCTCCATTAGCCACCCAGAGATGTGCAGCAGTTGGTTATCTGCAGTTTAATGCTATCAGCATGACTGGTGGTTTGCTTAATCCGCTGCTGTCTTGTAAGCTGTCATGCGTGGCTTGTCCCAGCCCTCTGGGCGGCCTCTAGAAGAGCAGTGAGGAGAGCTCGCTGCTTTCCAGGGAGTACAAGGGGCTGCTGAGCATGGGAAGCGCTTTCATCTTTAGGGTGGATTGTCTGGAGAGAGCAGTGGTGGCTGGGCGAGACCCCAGCCTGAGGCCCTGTGCCTGTCCCACGAGGCAGCAGCACAGGGTGGTTGGTTTGAGTGCCCGAGGAGAGCGGGCTGGGGGCGCCGGGGCTCCCACTCCCCTCGCTGTGAGCAGCCGGGGAGGAATCCGGCGGGCTGGAGGGAACGGCCCCTGCTGCTGTTCTGCGCTCCGGGCTCGGCCTCGGCTGCGCACAGGGGAAGGCGTCTGACATGGGGGATAAAGCGGGTGCTCCCCTGCGTGTCTGGTGTGAGCAAGGCCCTTTAAGCCCCGCACCTCGGGGAGCGAGTGGCCAGGGATGTGGCTTAGAGAACAGGGGAGTCCTGCTCCCTCCACCCAGACAGCACGAGTACAGGGGCTTAAAGCGGCTGCAGGAAATCTGCCTAAACCCTCGTGTATTCGCAGGATTAGCACTAAACTCTCTTCTGAAAGGGCCAGTGATTCCTCTTGTCCGCTTCAGATAAAGCTTTGGTGTCAGCGCTGTCTGAAGAGGGCCAGGGAGCGGAAGGCAGCGGCTGCAGGCCCAGGATGGAGCGCGGGCAGTCAGAGCCGCCGTGCGTGGTGGATGGGGAAGTCCGGGAGCAGCAGGGAAGGAGGGGAAGGAGTTGTTGTTGCTGCACTGAGCTAAGGCAGAGAGGGGTTCCCAGCGCCGAGCCGCTGTCCCGGTGAGGTGGCTCCGTGGCCGCTGCTCCACAGGCTGCGCAGCGCGGGGTGGGCTGTGCTCGCTGCCAAGAGCGGGGCAGGGCCTGACACCGAGGAGCGACTCTGCCTCGAGCAGCGTGTTGCAGAGCCTGGCTTGGTGGCTCTTGCTGCCTGGGAGCTCTGCCCTGTGCCTTGGGACTGAGCTGCTCTCCATGCTGCTGCATCCCTCCCTTTTTGTCTGTCTTTAAGCAGCCGCATGTGTGTCCTCTTCTTTGGAGGCGCTTGATCCCCAGCGGATGGGGCAGTGGAATTGCCACCCGCAGTCTGCTTTGAGAAGATAAACACCCATGTCGGTCAGAGCAGGAGTGCTGCAAGGGAGGGCTTGAGCACTGGCACGGGGCAGTGGGTCCTTAGCAAACCCTTCTGGTGTCTTGGGGCCTGCAGGCAGCGCGCGTGAACACGCTGCCGTGCGTGGGGGCTGCAGCTGTTCCGGGTTGCCAGGACCCTCCCTTCCCGTCCTCTTCCCCTTCTCTCTTGCAGGCTAACGTGGTGTGCGTGGTGTACGATGTCACCAAGGAGGCCACGATCGAGAAGGTAACAGCTCTTCCATGGGCGTCCTGCCCGGCCCCGCTCCGCGCCCGCATCGGTGCCGCACCAGCCAGCAGCGGGTCCTTCCCCACCCTGGGCTTTGCGTGGATGCTGGCCAGCCCTGCGGGGATTCTGCCTGGGAGCGGGGAGCGCCAGGGAGCAGATGGCTGCAGGGCCCTGCTGGCTGCCACGGTGCCCGTGCCATGCGCTGGGAGCTGCTGCTCCCATGCCAGGCTCTTCTGACAGGGCTTTCGCTGTGCTTGTCTTTCAGATCCGCACCAAGTGGATCCCCATGGTGAACGGGGGACTTGAGAAGGGCTCCAGGTACCACGGCCTGTGTGGTCTGGGGGTGCAGAACTGGGCAATTCCAGAAGCTGCAGGTTCCCCCATCACCTTCCTCTCGCACGGAGGTTGTTCAAACTGGATTTGCAGTTTGTGGCTAAACCACTTGTAGCAGCGGAACGTGGAGGCTCTTCTAGCTGCGACAGGAGGGTCAGCAGAGAAGGCCCCTTCCCCCTGCACCTCTTGGCAGGCAGGCGGGGAGAGGAGGTGCCAAGGGAGTACAGAAGGGCCGAAGCTGCAATCTGTGCGTGGATGGTTTAAGCAGAAGGCTGCTGTGCTGGATTAAAGGCTCCCAAGCATATTGTTGCTGGGTGAAAACATAAGCAGGATCAGGCAGTCTGCTTCTCCAGATGGGTGCTCCCAGCCGTGGGAGGCAGGAAAGCTGCTCTGGACTTCGCGGAGGAGGGTTGGGCTCCCCAGCGTGTGGCCCAGGACTGTGTGTCACCAGGACAGGCCAAGGCTTAGAGAGGGGTGGCCTCACTCACAATCTCTGATATCCCCTGTCTCCTTCCCAGGATCCCCATTATTTTAGTGGGAAACAAGTCTGACTTGCAAGCGGGGAGTTCCATGGATGTCATCTTGCCCATCATGAACCAGTTTTCGGAGATTGAGACTTGCGTGGAGGTGAGGGAACCAGAGGGTTTCTGCAAAGCCTTCCTGAGGGATAGGAGCACTTGTCTGGTGTGAGCTGGGAGCAGCCTTCATGCTTGCAGTGATCTGTGCTGCTGATCCTCTGTAGAAGCAACTTACCCAGGTCTGGAGGGGATATTCTGTGCTTTAGATTGTCCTTTGTCTTCCCTGTAGGAAGCAGGTTTTGCTTTCTGCTCACCCCTTCATTTGAGCTGGTAACTGGTGTTGGAGCCTACGTGCAGCTCTTGTTGGCTCCTGGGACTGCGATTTGGGCAGAGCAGAGCTGGGGTCCGAGTAGGAGGTTTCCCTTTTGTTTTTTCCTGGTGACGGGCAGCTTCCTAGTGAGTGCTTTGATGTGTTACGTGTGTGACTCGGGAACCTTGAAGCATCCTCTTGTGGTCCCTGCTCTTCCCTCTGCCTCTTGTCACCAGCCTGATGCCTGCACCCTAGTCACAGGACTTTCTCATCCCTTTATGTCCTCAGTGCTCTGCCAAGAACCTCAAGAACATCTCTGAGCTCTTCTACTACGCCCAGAAAGCTGTGCTGCACCCCACTGCCCCGCTGTATGACCCAGAGGAGAAGCAGGTAAGAGGTGCTGCCTGGAGCCCCTGTTTAACCCTGCTCCCTCACAGTCACTGGCAGGACTCCCCTTCCTGCTGTGCCTGCAGGATAGCAGTGCTCTGATCTGTGCCGTGCCTCTGGGTGACAGAGAGAGGGCATGAGGGGCCTGGTGGTGTCTTAGCAGTTAGTGCTTCTAATCCAGGCATACGTCCCCTCTTAGATGGGGTCAAGGGTGCAGGTTCCTGCCTGTGACCGAGGCCGACCATCCTGCTGTTACAATAACCTGTCCTGCCGTGGCTGCAGTACCTGAGCCAGCTCTGTGTTGGGCTTTGAGGAGGCTGAAGGGTTTGAGCCCAGCTGCCAAGAACAGCGGGGAAGCAGTGCCCCGGGGGGAACCAGCAGGGAAGAAAATGCCTGGCTCCCTGTGCCAAGTGCAGCCAGGTGAATGTATCCAGGCTACAGGGAGACTTGTGAAATCCAAGGACACGCTGAGGTGGAAGTCTTTGTGCTCCAGACTATGTGACAATCATGGTGAGAAAGGTCAGGGAGAAACCTTGCCCAAGGACCATCCTACCTTCTGACTCCCAGCTCCAAATAGCAGCAATACTGGCCTTGCTGGACCACGTTCCCAGAGCAGTGCAGGAAGAGGCTCTCTGCATGGGGATTCAGGAGGGAATGACCCTGAATGAAGGTGGTGCCATGTTGTCATCTTGGTTGATCCCTTACAGCTGAGGCCTGCGTGTGCACGAGCACTGACCCGGATTTTCAACCTCTCGGACCAGGATAACAACCAGATCCTTAGCGATGATGAACTCAACTACTTCCAGGTAGGGCTGGTTTGCTCTGTAATGGGAGGAACAGGAGACTGGAGATGCTGAGAGAGTCTTGCTGTGTTGGGAGAATGAGGAACAGGGGCTGGGTAGGATCTAAGGCAGCAATGCCCAAGATGGGTGGATTTTCCCTCCTAAGAAGGTCCTTTCTCCCATTGTCCGGGGAGAAGTGTGCGAGTGAGGCAGAGGCCTGTGCTGTCTGTGTGCTGTGCTTATGATGAACTTACTTTTTGGTGAGGTAGAAGTCCTGCTTTGGAAACCCCCTGGCACCCCAGGCCCTCGAGGATGTGAAGATGGTTGTGTGGAAGAACACCACGGATGGAGTGCAGGACAACGGCCTCACACTGAATGGTAATGGCACAGGGGCTCCGTGCCCTTTCCAGGCAAGGAATAGAGGGATCCATCTGTGTCAGCAGGGGCTCTTGTGCTTGCACTCGGTCTCTTTGCTCTCTCTCAAAGCCTAGTTCAGAGTCCCTCCTGTTGTGGCTGCTCAGAGCCATCCACTGAAGCCTCCTGTTATCCTAGGGGAATGGTGGTCCTGGAGGTGGATTCCTGAGGCTGAGTCCCTGATCTCTCCTGCAGGTTTCCTCTTCCTCAACACACTCTTCATCCAGCGGGGCCGGCATGAGACCACGTGGACCATCCTCCGGCACTTTGGGTATGACGATGAGCTGGAGCTGACAGATGACTATCTCCACCCGCCGTAAGTATCCTGCTGTAGCATGGGACACCCCCGTGTGTGTCACCCTCGTAATATGTGACTTAGGACTTTGCTAGATCCTTTCTGCCTCCTGGGGTCTGCTGCTTTCCTCAGCTGGCTCTGCAACCTGCCTCGATGTGGGTTCCAAGTGCATGGGCAGGTCCATGATCCTCACCTTCCCTGTGGGTAGGAGCTGATCCACGGCATTGACAGTAGTGGCCTTTGTGCTGTTGGCTGTGCTCCTGGCTCTGGCGTAGGTGGGAATGAAGACATGTCCCTGACTTCCCCTGACATTAGCAAGAGGGTTTCGAAGGCTCTTCTGTCTGTGTCTGAGCTGAGCTGTCTCGAGCAGTAAGTTGACAGCCTAGCCCTCCCGGCTGGCTCTACAGCTGCTGTCTCCTCTCTGCTCCCTGCCACCCCCAGAGGTGCTGATCTGACAGTAACGAGAGGGTTCAGCCTGCGAGCTGCTTCATCCCCTCCTCGCTAGACAGCAGGGCTCCTGGGGAGACAACAGGGCCCGTGCTGGTGGTAAGCACCAGGATTAGTGCCATGCCCTTGGGGAGCCTGCCCTGAGCAGAAGGCAGAGCCAGAGCCATGCTGCTTGCCCTGCCACTCAGGCAGTGGGGATGTGCTGAGGAGACTCCACTGTCTGTCAAGGCCTTCTCAAAATGTGGGGCCTGTGTCAGGAAAAGGCCAGGCTAGAAACAATCATGGGCCTTGAGCAGGAAGGAGTGGGGAGCTCTGTGCTCTGGGTGAAACATGGCATTATCTTGAGCAGGAAGGAGTGGGGAGCTCTGGGTGAAACATGGCATTACTGAGGACCCAGTCACACTTTTGCCCTCTGCTCAGGGCTTGAAGACAAGAGGTGTTGGCAGCCTGAGGGCCCCATGGGGCTGTGCAGACAGTCTGCTCACTGCAATCTCTTCTGGCAGGTTCCGCCTGCCCCCGGGCTGCTCCACGGAGCTGAACCACTTGGGCTACCAGTTCCTGCAGCGGCTCTTTGAGAAGCACGACAAGGTGGGCTGCGTGCTTGGGTGGGAAGGGGGTGCTGCCTGCTGGGCCTGCACCTTTGGGCATAGTGATTCTCCCGTCTGTCCTTGTGCTGCCTGATGTGGGTACAGATGTGGAACCAGAAAAAGGCTTTTGGCCATCACAGCAAGCACTCCCTTCACAACCTCTTGCTGAGGCTTGAGGACACGTTCACTGCAAGCTGTGTATAGGGACAGCACAGCAGCTGTGCCTCTGACTGCAGCAGTCAAGGGCACAGGACTGTGGCCACTACTGGCAGCCAGAAAGGTGCAGGTCTTCAGAGGCTTTGAGCTGCTGGGCCTGAGTTAACATCAAATTGGCGTGTGCCCTGCATGGTGCCTGGGCACAGCATGCTGAGTAGCAGGGGAGAGCAGGCAGAGCTACTGGCCTGCAGCCATGGGGCACGTGCAAGCCACGCTCCCTGTGGAGTGGAGTGCCAGGCCTGGAGAGAGGGAGAGAGAGGACTGATTTCTGCCCTGCTCTGGTTTTTCTGGAGGGTGAGAGGAAGGTGTGTTAGGTCTGTGTGCAGCTGGGGTACATGGCTGCTGGGAGCTGCAGCAATGAGGAGTCAACGTGCCTGTGTGCTTCGATGCAGGCAGAGCCTTGCATGCAGTTACCTGGGCACTGGAGGCACCAGCGCCGTGGCAGCCTCGGCTCCTTCCCTGCTGCCCCAAGCCCTTGTCATCCTGTGGCACAGAAGGTCAGGCTGGACCAGAGAAGGCTGCCATGTGGCGGCTGCCCCCAGGGAAGCCGGGAATAGCAGGTCAGGCTGTGGACTGAGTGAGAACAGGTCTTTCCTGCTAACAGGGCTGGCACTGGGTACAGCCGTAGTCACAAAACGGAAAGACCCCCGGCGTAGCCTGCCCCTGGCACACTGATGGAGGTGTCCCTGCAGCTCAGGCTCTCTGCACTGAGTCCCATAGACGTTTCTGTGTGCTCAGAAAGCTCTGGCCTTGCTTGTTGTTGGTTTCTGCTGCTCAGTGTGTCCCTGTACCACTCTACAGCACTGTTCAAGGTGGCTCTAGTTGTGCTCAAGATCCTTTCTGGATCATGACGATACTTGCTGTTTCTGTAGGGAGATGCTAGTGCACATATAGGCTTTGTTGTGCCTTGGTTGCTGACTCCACTTTGTTTTGCAGGACCAGGATGGA